GTGTGTTTATACTCATGAAACACTAGAGGACTGTATCAGGGAATGTTATAAGCAAATGCTAAATCCGTGTGGTTGCTCTTAAGAGCGTCCTAGGGGTGTTCTGCCTGTTAAAAAATAAATCGGTAAATTTCCTCTCGTTTCTAACAGAAGAGCAGTTTAAACTTGTGGATTCCGTCATCAGCACAGTCTGTTAGGAACCGCGCGGTCCCCCAGAACTGGGGCAGGCGGTGGGGAGGGGGGGGGGGGTTCGGGCTGCTGTGAGCAGAGGGCGAAGAGAGCCGCTAAATATCCGCCCCGCAGCCCCCGGGAATGCTTGATTTTGATTCACCTGAAGGACCAGCATCTCGCCCGGTCCATTGTTGTCTGAGGTTGGCACAAGGATGGGCGGGAGGCGGGGCCGGGGCCGGGGCCGGGGAGGGTGCTCCAGGGAGCCAGGCCCCGGGGTCGCGCCCCGAATTTGGGGGCCCAGCGCACTGCGCCCGGGGGAGGTGGCCGCGGCACGGCGGGCGGCTTTGTGGCGCGCGCGGGTTCCACCGCAGGCGGCGCGGAGGCGGGGCCCTGCACAGGCGTCCGCCAAACCCCCGCTTTCTGCCGGGCCGCGGCCGCCGCACATGGCCGGCTCCGCAAGGGCCGGCTTCCCTGCGCACACAAATAGCCGCCTGGACGCGTTCCTGCGGAGGCGGCTGCCGCCCGAGGTCTACGACGCCATCCGCGCCTACGAGCCGTGCATCGTGGTGTCCGACTCGGAGAAGCACACCTTCAAGTACGTGGTCCTCAGCGATCGGCTCATCTACCTGACCGAGAACCCGCCCAAGTCCATACGGCGAGCAGTGGCGCTGCGGGACGTCGTGGCCATTGACCTGGTGAGGAGCGCGGGCGGGCAGGCGGGCTCGCGGGAATCCCTTCTTGGGTACCTCCCCCCCAGGTTCCAGGCCTGCCGCACGCGGGAAGAGGGAGGGGAAGGCAGACCTTCCCTATCCCCCTCTGGACTCCCGTACTTTTCTTTAACTTACTTCGGGACTAGCAGCCACACAGGAAAACGGTGGATTGCTGTATGGACTCCGAATAAAAATGCCCTGCCCATTCTCATCGTGTGTACCGGTCAGCCCTTGTACCCCCAAATAGGGATACAGGTTTGAGAACATAGCCCCCTATCAAAAATACGCTTTAAAGTCATGTTTTTTTTCATTAAGCATCTAGCCTGTGCCAGGCACTTGTTCTAGACACTGAGGATGCACAAAAGAAATAGGGCCCCTTCCTAGAAACTGTTGTGGGAGAGATAAAAAGCCAAAACCAATGCAAATAAATGCAGTGTGCTAAGTACTTTATGCCTTTTTTTTTTTTTTTTTTTTACCAGCAGTGCTTAGAGCGTGCTAGGTGCTCAGTATGAATAAGTGAATGGATGGATGAATGAATGAATGAATGAATGAATGAAAGAGATGTGCACAGGATGCCTGGCAATCTCACACAGGTCACTTGATCCAAGCTGGGCCCAGGCCATGCTGGGAAAACTTCTCGCAGAAGATACAATCTGGCATAGCCACCCCTTGTCCCAGTTTTAGTGTTCTGCTACTGTATCCCTTCCCTCCAGGGATAGATATACCTTATAAATCAACAAAAGATTGTAAGCAGTCTCCTCTCCAATTACTGGCCTCCCCACCCCCCCTTGTCTGAGTCTCTGCATCACCCAAGGGAGAAGTTGCTGAACTCTTAATGGGGCTGTTTTGCAAAGACAATCCTAGTTTGTTTGGAACACATCTGTAAAAAAAGGATAAAATTAACTGAGAAAAAAAAAAGCTTTCTTTTTTTTCTTTTTAAAATAGTCCTGTGGGCTAATATCACTGTGCAAATTTATTTGTTTTTTTTTTTTTTTGAGTAAAAGTTTGAAGCAAAACTGCCTTCTTCCTTACTACCACTATTTTCATTCTCTTGAACTAAAATTAAAAAAATTAATTTCCTTTATCAAATGTCTTTAAAACATTAAATGCTCAGCTTTGAATACTGTCTGCAGTGTAAACATTTATTGTTTTGACAAAATGTAATGATTTTAGGATATTGTGACTCTCCCCAACAAGAAATACAGTATATATATTTCAGTAGTTGCTATAAATCTTTCTTCTTGAGCTGTTAGAATCTGAAAAGTGCAATAAAGTTCCCTAGGCCTCCAAGCCAAGAATCCTACAAAAAGGCATACCAGTTTATTTGGTCATGCTTTATGTACATAATTTACCTTTCAGGCTTATACAAGAATGTGTAATGTCTATAAAGGTGCTGAATAGATCTATGATTTTAGCACTGCTGACAGATTGAAGGTCCATCTTGCACAATATTTTAACAGCAGCTAAAGTGGTGGTAGGCAGAATATCGCTGGAACCTGTCAATATGTTTCATTACATGGCAAAGAGGAGTTAAAAGTTGCAGATGCAATTCAGGTTGCTTGCTATCAGATGACTTTCAAATAGGGAGACTGGGGCATCTGGGTGGCTCAGTCAGTTGAGCATCTGGCTTCAGCTCCGGTCATGATCTCACGGTTTGGGAGTTCAAGCCCCGCATTGGGCTCTCTGCTATCAGTGCAGGGCCCACTTTGGATCCTCTGGCGCCCCCTCTCTCTGCCCCTCCCCCACTTGTTCTTTCTCTCTATAAATAAACAAATAAGGATATTACAAAAAACCCAAACGTGTCCAATAAAAAGCAAAAAAAAAAAAAAAAAAAAAAAGAATACACAAATAAATAAAATAGGGAGATTATTTTGGATTATCTGAGTGGGCCCAATGTAATCACAAATCCTTCAAAGTGGAAAAGGGGGGCAGAAAGAGGCAGGCAGAGCACTGCAGCCAAGAGACTAGTGGTTCTGAAGGAGGAAGGAGCCAGGAGACAAGGAATGTGGACAGCCTCTAGAAGCTGGAAAGGGCCTGGAAACAGGTTTTCTCCTAGAGCCTCCAGAAGGAATGCCGTCCTCCCAACACCTTGAGTTTAGCCCAGTGAGACCCATTTTGGACCTCTGACCCCTAGAACTATGAAAGAATAAATCTGTGGTGTTTAGTGCCACAGAGTTTATGGTAATATGTTACAACAGCAAATGAATACAGAATTGTTTTGCTCTTAATATTTTTTAAAAACGGGTAATCATTTTTTAAAAGTATTGTTTCAGTGAAGAATATAATCATGCCAAGTACAAATGCCTTCACGATCCCTTTTTCTGAGGTTTTATAAGATAATTCTAGGGTTATTATAGTTCAGTGGCTTGCACAGCTTCGCAGGGTGTATGAAAAATGGGTGTCAGTCACACAGTTGCTTTCTCTAGCACCAATTACTGGCCACAGATGTAGCTGACTAATCGTCCCTCTATGAACATGAAGTCCGAACTTAATACCATAATATAGAGAATTTTCCTGGTTTCTGTGTTATATCTCATATAGTCATCTCCTATCCGTGCTAAGTCAGTAGTTTCTTAAATCACATGATTTCGGTGCCAGGCACCTTTGTTTCTTAGAACTGGTTTCTCCTTCCTTGAAAGATAAACTGTTTAATCTCCTTTTTTTTTTTTTTTTTTTTAAATAGGGTGCTGTCCTCTAGGGCCAACTCTTTAGACATCCTTTTCCATTCTCAAAGGTTTTCTCATTTTACTGTAAAAGTTTGTCTTCTTGTTATTTAACTTTCAATTGGCTCAGGTTTCCATTCTGCCTTTGTTCTAGCTGTCACAGCAGTAAACTCCCAAGCAAACCAGTCCTTTATGCCTCTGGGCCCCAGCCTTCTTGGTCCCATGTTCAGTCAGATTCCTTACTTAGTTCATGTCTCATGTTACAGTTACACCTCAGAAAAAAAATTGCAAATAAAATTCCATTTTCTCTCCTAAAGAAAAAAAAATGGAGGGGCACATGAGTAGCTCATTCAGTTGTGTTTGATTTCAGCTCAGATCATGATCTCACGGTCCGTGAGTTTGAGCCCTGCATCAGGCTCTAAGCTGATAGCATGGAGCCTGCTTGGGATTCTCTGTCTCTCTCTGCTCCTCCCCCCACGGCCTCTCTCTCTCTCTCTCTCTCTCTCTCTCTCTCAGAAATAAATAAATAGACATTAAAAAAAATTTGAAGGTAACAGCAGCAAAAAGTTACACCAGAACTTGGATTGGATACAAATGAGATTTCCCTTCCAGCAAAGATGTGCTTAAAATCCACCCGGAGATCTCAAGTGTTTGATATGGTCCATGTCCTAAAAGAGAGTTTCTAAGGTTGCTTGGGTGGAGCTTTTATAAAAAGGCTGACATTTTCTTTAAAAGTTCCTTTTGGGGGGCGCCTGGGTAACTCAGTCAGTTAAGCATCTGACTTCGGCCCAGGTCATGACCTCAAGGTTCGTGAGTTCGAGCCCCGCGTTGGGGGCTGTGTGCTGACAGCTAAGAGCCCGGAGCCTGCTTCAGATTCTGTCTCCCTCGCTCTCTGCCCCTCCCCCACTCTTTCAAAAGTTGCTTTTGGAAGAATACTCTACAGTTCTGCTCTTGTTGTGGGCATCAAAACACTTCTTCAAGCTCTTCCAAGATTAAGCACATATTTTTCAAGTGTGAGAAGCAACTTTCCAGAAGTGAATTTCCTATGAATTCACTCTCCTTCAAGGCCATCCCATCACCTACAGAGAAAAAAAAAAATCCGTCAACTCCAGCAGCCTTGCCTGTAGTCTCTCGCCTGTCTTTGTCTTTTCACCACCCTTCCCAGTGAATATGGCTCTCCAGTGAATATTGGCTCTGTGTGGCTTCCTCAACGGGCCACAAACGCACCTTTTACAGCCTGGCCTGTTTGCTTGTATTGAACATTTTCTCCTCCTTCAAGGTTGTTCAGATCATCATATTTATAATTCTCTTCCTCTCCTCCTTCTCTCTCTCCTTTTAAAACATGTAAAAACAGGGGCGCCTGGCTGGTTCCAGTGAGTAGAGCATGTGACTCTTGATCTTGGGGTAGTGAGTTTGAGCCTCACGTTGGGCACAGAGTTTACTTTAAAAAAATGTAACATTCTTAGCTTGAAAAGAAACAGGTCACAGGCTGTGCTGTAGGGGCCGCAGTAGTTTGCCAACTGATCCCTGCTTTCCCCACTAGTACGTTCACAGCCAACACATCTTCTAGGCTAAGCCCCAGTCATTCTTTCTCTGAGCTGTTTTTCCTCCTCTGAGCTGATGAGGGCAGGCCTTTTGGTCTGTTTTCTTCATTGCTGTATTTCTTTCTGGCTCCTGGATAGACCAGATGGTCAATACATATTTGTTAAATATTCAACATAATCTGTTTCTTCTGTTTCTGATTTGATGATCTGCAATATACATTGGGCATTTCATAAAATATATATTGTTAAATGTTTATTTATTTATTGAGAGAGAGAGAGAGGGAGAATCCCAAGCAGGCTTGGTGTTGTCTGCACAGAGGCTGATGCGGGGCTCGGTCCCAAGAACCGTGAGATATGTCCTGAGCCAAAATCAAGAGTTGGATGCTTGGGCGTCTAGGTGGCTCAGTCGGTTAAGCACCTGACTTCAGGTCATGATCTTGCAGTTCATGAGTTCGAGCCCCGCATCGGACTCTGTGCTGATAGTTCAGAGCCTGGAGCCTGTTTCACACTCTATGTCTCCTTCTCTCTGTCTGCCTCTCTCTCTCTCTCTCTCTCAAAAATAAATAAACATTAAAAAAAAAAAGTTGGATGCTTAACCGACTGAGCCACCCAGATGCCCCTAATAATACATTTTTATTTTTATTCAGGTTTTGCTGTCTACCTGTATAGACATGGTCCAGTTATTTAACATCTACTCTGTGCCTTCCTTAGATTGTTTTTTTTTTTATATATGAAATTTATTGTCAAATTGGTTTCCATACAACACACAGTGCTCATTCAATACCCATCACCTACCCTACCCTCCCTCCCACCCCCCATCAACCCTCAGTTTGTTCTGTTTTTAAGAGTCTCTTATGCTTTGGTTCTCTAACCTTTTTTTTTTTTCCTTCCCCTCCCCCATGGGTTTCTGTTAAGTTTCTCAGGATCCACATAAGAGTGAAACCATATGGTATCTGTCTTTCTCTGTATGGCTTATTTCACTTAGCATCACACTCTCCAGTTCCATCCATGTTGCTACAAAAGGCCATATTTCGTTCTTTCTCATTGCCACGTAGTACTCCTTGTGTATATAAACCACAATTTCTTTATCCATTCGTCAGTTGATGGACATTTAGGCTCTTTCCACAATTTAGCTATTGTTGAGAGTGCTGTTATAAACATTGGGGTACAAGTGCCCCTCTGCATCAGCACTCCTGTATCCCTTGGGTAAATTCCTAGCAGTGCTATTGCTGGGTCATAGGGTAGGTCTATTTTTAATTTTTTGAGGCACCTCCACACTGTTTTCCAGAGCGGCTGTACCAGTTTGCATTCCCACCAACAGTGCAAGAGGGTTCCCATTTCTCCACATCCTCTCCAGCATCTATAGTCTCCTGATTTGTTCATTTTGGCCACTCTGACTGGCATGAGGTGATACCTTAGATTGTTTTTGAGAGGATTAAATTAAATAAATGTAACTCACTTAAAACAGTACTTGGCGCAGGTAACAGCCACATACGTGTTATTATTGATAATCTTTATTCACATATATTAAGTCTGTTAGGTTCACTATGAGTCTGTAAGATAGATATTATCTTCTCTTTTCATATTAGGGCACTTGACTTTAGAAGATTTAATAAATTTGGAAAGAAAATAACTTTTTGAGCATTGATTATATATTAGGTGTTTAAAATTTTGTTTATTATTTAGAGAGAGAGAGAGAGAGAGAGAGAGAGAGAGAGAGAGTGAGTGGGGGAGGGGCAGAGAGGGAGACACAGAATCTGAAGCAGGCTCCAGGCTCTGAGCTGTTAGGCTCAGAACCTAACGTTGGGCTCAAACTCACTAATTGTGAAATCATGACCTGAGCCAAAGTTGGATGCTTAACCGACTGAGCCACCCAGGCGCCCCTGTATGAGGTGTTTAAATATACTGTCTTGTTTATTCTCTTGAAAATCTGTCCAGTAGGTATGTCGAGTTTAATGTATTCAAAAACAGAATTCCTGATCTCTACCCCTAAATTTGTTCCTTCCTTGGCTTTCCTTATTTTAGGAAATAACATCATCTACCAGCCTTAATTCTTTCACTCCCTACATCCAACAATCACTATACCCTCTTGATTTGTGTAGAGGAGGAAAAAGTTTCCCTTGACCCTCTCAGGGTCCCTGGCTGAGTCTGAAAATTAAACTGACAAAGACAGATTAACAGGAGAAATGCCTACACATTTATTTCATATAAATTTTACATGATATGGGAGCCTCTATAAAGGTAACAAAGACCTGAAGAGACAGGTGAATCTGTGTGTGTTTAATATTAGGATAAAGAAAAAAAATGGGATAGCACAAAAAAGGGGGTATGACTAAGGATAATAACCTAGGGAAAACTGGTAAGGTCTGTTTGTTTGGATTTCTTTCTCTCAGTGTCCTTCTCTGGGTACAGGGAGGGCACCTCTCCCATGAGGGTCTTATGACCTGCTTCAAGGGAGCAGGGTGGAAAAAGATCAGAGAGAGTTTCCTGAATCTGCTGTTTTCTCAAATTCCTTCAGCTCAAAATATTCAGTGTACCAAGGTGCCATATTTTGGGATAGTATGTTCTGATCCTTGTCACTTCTCTTCCAAAATATATCCAGCCAGGACCTTTCTTACCTTTTTTACTTCTGCCACTTGTGCAGTCCCTTACCTCAACTATTGAAATTACCTCCAAACTCATTCCTCTTCATCTAGCAGTTGGGATGATCTTTTTAAACATGAAGTGTGAATTAAGTTATATCACTCTTCTTCTTTGTATTGCCTATAAAAGCCTCCATGATATGACCCCTCTATCTCTGACTTGTCTCCAACTCTTCCCTGAGCTCTTTTTGCTCTTCCTTCTTGCCTCAGGGACTTTGCACGTGCCATCCTATCTGGAACACTTCCTCCAGATCTTCGGAGAGTTGGTTCCTTCTTGCCAGTCATGTTTCCAAATTCAGTTTCACCTCCACAGGGATGCCTCTGATGACCCCCTCAATCTAAAATACCACTCCCTGGGGCGCCTGGGTGGCGCAGTCGGTTGAGCGTCCGACTTCGGCCAGGTCATGATCTCGCGGTCCGTGAGTTCGAGCCCCGCATCGGGCTTTGGGCTGATGGCTCAGAGCCTGGAGCCTGCTTCTGATTCTGTGTCTCCCTCTCTCTCTGCCCCTCCCCCGTTCATGCTCTCTCTCTCTCTCTCTGTCCCAAAAATAAATAAAACGTTGAAAAAAAATAAAATAAAATACCACTCCCCATCACACTTACCACATCTGTTTGTTTCAAAGCACTTAACATTATTGGCATTATAAGATTAATCTGTTTGATGACTTATTATTGTCCATCCCCCATAGTAAATGCAAGCTCCATGAGACCTTGTCTGTCTTGTTCATCCCTGGGTCACTGTGCATTGTGTTGCCTGACACATAGAAGATGGTCAAAAACTATCTGTCAATGGGAAGAACTGGAAGAGTAAATGGATGCTCAGATACATCATACAGTTTACCTCTCAGAGGGAAAGATCCTATTTCCTTATTCCAAGTGTTGAGGGACCCTGGAGACTTGACAACTCATCACACATAGGCAGTTAGCGGAACAGCCAGGGCAAAGTCTCAGAGGGTCTTCTGATGCTCAGGTTCAGCTTTTTTCATGCTTCCTTTGTGCTTGTGTGAGATGATCTCTGTGTTGTTTACCTGAGTCGTGCACTTTGGTAGTAAGAGTTATGGAAGATGAGACTATATTATGGATGCTTCTTTTCTTCTCTCTTTTTTTTTTTTTTTTGATTCATTTGCAGCCTTTCAAAAGTCTCACTGTGGAAGGAAGAAAGAGGTGGTAAACTCTAATCCATCTTTTTTTTTTTTTAAGTTGATTTATTTTGAGAGAAAGAGAGAGAGCACGAGCAGGGGAGGGGCAGAGAGAGAGAGGGAGAGAGAATCCCAAGCAGCAGAGCCCAACATGGGGCTCGAATTTATGAACTGTGAGATCATGACCTGAACCAAAATCAAGAGTTGGACACTTAACCAACTGAGGGCCACCTTTGGTTTCTTAATAGTTTGCACAAAATAGTTTGGATTTTGCATTCGAGTCTTGTTCTTGGTTTGTTTGTTTTAATATAAGGTCTATGCCAAACGTGGGGCTTGAACTCATGACCCTGAGACCAAGATCTGCGTGTTCTACTGAATGAGCCAGGCAAGCACCCCTGCATTCAAGTCCTGAGAAACTTCATGAGGGTGGGCATTTTGTCAGTTTGATTCACTGATGTACCCCCAGTGCCTAGAATGATAGTGTCTTGGTCGGGATGGCCTAGGTTAACTGCACTAACAAACAACCCCAAGGTCTTAGTGCTTTAACACAACATAAAGTCGATCTCATCCAAGTTACTTGTCCACTGTGGATTAGCTTCGTTTCAGTCACAAGATATGTGACACTTAGTCACCCATCTTAGTATCAGGGACTCCATCTCAGCATATGCTTGCTTAATCACCAGGTAGAGGGAAATTAACTTGGAAAATTATGTACTTACTTTTAAGCTTCTACCCAGAAGTGACACATGTAATTTCTCACATTTAGGAGCTAGAGTCAGGCACATGGCCCATGCCTATCTTAAAAGGGGGCAGGAAAACGTGATCCTATCATATATGCATTCCATGTGTCTGAAAGAGAGAAAAGGAGTATTTGAACAGCTCTAATGTCTACCTCAAATTGCTGACATTTTATTGAGTGCTTACTATATGCCACTCAGCCTCTGTTCTAAGTACTTACCCTGGAACTTCTTTATCTTTACAACAACCCCACATAATATTGTATCTAGCTTTACCGATAAAGAACCTGAAGTACAGGGAATTTAGGCAACTTGCCCAAGGTCATCCTCTAAGTGGCAGAACCAGAATTTGCACTCTAGGAGTCGGCCTGCGGCATCCATGCTTTGATTCTCTAAGCTTCGATTCTCTAAGCTATACCTGCCTCGGTCATAGCAGGTCATTAAAAAAATAATAATAAGTTTTCACTGAATATCCAGAAGACTCTAAGCTTTTTGAAAAGAGAAACTCCATCTTACATTTTGCATCTTTGAGTTTTGCACTTTGCAGTAGCAACTCAGAAGTATCCATGATGAATTGAACTGGATAAATTAGAAACTAAATGCTCAACTGCCAAAAGCTTAGGGTGCGTTTATTCTCTGAAATTAAAGCTGAAAGAAGAAATCTGAATCGAGACTCTGAAAACAAGACGAAGGGATAAGATAAATATAGAATTGTTCACAAAAATTTTCAGAAACAAGAAAGAAGTACTATCACCTTTACTTCAATTGAAAAACAAAAAATAAGGGATCTCCCTTTGCATTTTAAAAGTAGTATTTTTTTTTTAATTTTTTTTTTTTAACGTTTATTTATTTTTGAGACAGAGGGAGACAGAGCATGAACGGGGGAGGGTCAGAGAGAGGGAGACACAGAATCTGAAACAGGCTCCAGGCTCCGAGCCATCAGCACAGAGCCCGACGCGGGGCTCGAACTCACGGACCGTGAGATCGTGATCTGAGCCGAAGTCGGCCGCTTAACCGACTGAGCCACCCAGGCGTCCCTAAAAGTAGTATTTTAATAAAAGTAAGAGAAATCAGTAATCAGTTGCACATATAAATATGGCCCCAAATGATGTAGATACATTCATGAGTGATGTATTATTCTTAGAGGTGGTCAAAGAAGTTAGAGATATTTTCACATAAAGCCTTATTCATTTGAGGTAACACAAAAGAGCATTCTCTTCTCTCCCCAAATGCCCCTTGCTGCCATCATCAGAGACAAATACCATGCTGAGTAGGCCATGAATCTAGCCAGTATTGCATTACTGAGGTTCTTAGGAAGAATCAAAGGTCATTAACTGTAATAGATATCTATTGGCTATGCACTAATGTGTTAGCCTTGTGTCAAACACTTTAAATCTTATTTAATCTTATTAACTCTATGAGGAAGATGATATTGTCTTTTTTTCCCCCCTGGATGATAAAATGGAGGCAGACAAAGGGGAAATATATATATATATTTAAAAATTTTTTTTAACGTTTATTTATTTTTGAGACGGAGAGAGAGCATGAACAGGGGAGGGTCAGAGAAAGAGGGAGACACAGAATCTGAAACAGGCTCCAGGCTCTGAGCTGTCAGCACAGAGCCCGACGCAGGGCTTGAACTCACGGACCGCGAGATCATGACCTGAGCCGAAGTCGGACGCTTAACCGACTGAGCCACCCAGGTGCCCCAAAGGGGAAATATTTGCACAAGGTCATATTCAGAAAACATTGGAGCTGGAATGTAAATTCAGGTCTTTTGACCTTACAGCCAGCATTCTTGAACCATTATGCACACAGTAACAACTGACTTTCTACAAATTCCTGCTTCCAAATTCCTTCCTTTTCCTTCTTTCTTTCCTTCTTTCTTTCTTTCTTCAATTTTTTTAAATTGTAGTTAACATACAGTGCTATATTGGTTTCAGGAGAATTCAGTGATTCATCATTTACATCCAAATTCCAAATTGCTTTAGAAGTTTTTAGGGTTTGCAATAGAGACAACATGGTCACCTCAGTTTGCAGATTACCTGGCTCCTGGGCATTGGCTGTCAGGAAGGAGAGGATGAAGTTATAAATAAAACACCTTTTTCATTCCTCATACCACCCCTCTGTATTCAAGATTGTTGTCCTTCAAAGCTCACACTGTGTCATTGCTGTTTCTGACGCTGTTCAAGGACAGGTCTGGTTGCAAGACGCAGATGGATGTCGTATCCTCTTCACAGGGTCGAGCCTTGAAAGCTTTTTTCCTTTTAGTCTTAGCTGTGGCTCTTGTCCCAGAGACAATGATTTTTCAAGCCTAACACTGAAATAGTCTAGGGAGTCTCCAGTATTATGGGGCTGTGCCCAATTCTCCAAACTGGTAATTCTTTTTGGCATATGTGGGTGGATCATTCTTGCCAACAATATTCATAGATCCCAAGAAAAGCTCATCTACTTAGATGTCCTTAGGGATTGATACACTAAAGCCCAGGTAGAGTATAATGGGGAAAAAAAAAACCCACCTGGTGGAGGCTGCAGTGAGTTTTTTAACTATGTCAGTGGAAGAATTTGCCAAATGTTAAATGTAAAAATAGCTTCTACTAAGGAATAAGTTTGTGTACAGCCTGACATAGGTAATTGCCAATGTGGTTTAATTTGAGAGAAATCCATTCAAGATATCTCCATACATTGATAGGCTATCTCATCAGTACCTTTAATCCTGCCACTGGCCCTCCTTCAGATTTGCTCTGAAATCCTCTTGGAACAAGTAATTCATTAAATTGAAATTTGAGTGAATTAATTTATTACTTGCTTTCCTCCAGTTTTTGGAGACAGAGACGGGAGAGTTAGAGCTTGCTGTCAGAGAGGAAGTTAGGTCATCAAAGGACCATGGAAGTTGAAAGATATCTCACAATTTAGCTCTTTTGGGGACTTACTTCCACTACTTAATGTCCCATGAAATAAAATGATCTCCAAATTGTGGTCCAGTACGTGGTGTCTACCTTCAGATTTTCCCTTTTGACTTTTCCTCTGGTTTATGTCTTTTTTTTTTTTTAAGATTTTATTTTTAAGTAATGTTTACACCCAACATGGGGTTTGAATTTACAACCCCAAGATCAACTGACTGAGCCAGCCAGGTACCCCTTAAAAAAATGTCTCTTTATAGTGTGTTTTTTTTTTTTTTAAATATATGAAGTTTATTGTCAAATTGGTTTCCATACAACACCCAGTGCTCATCCCAAAAGGTGCCCTCCTCAATACCCATCACCCACCCTCCCCTCACTCCCACCCCCCCATCAACCCTCAGTTTGTTCTCAGTTTTTAAGAGTCTCTTATGCTTTGGCTCTCTCCATAGTGGGTTTGTTTGAATTAGGATTCAAATAATGGTCCCCACCAAATTGTGTTTGGTTATCTGTCTCTTAAATCCCTTTTAATCTATGACAGTTCTTCCTTCCTCTTTCATTTTTCTGTCAGTTATTTGCTGGAGAAATGAGGTCACTTATTCTGGAGAATTTTCCACAATCTGGATCTGGAATCCTTGGGCATGTCCTTCATCCACTATAGTTGCTTTAAACTGGGGAAGATCCAGGGGCAGTGTTTTGACAACAATACTCCTAGCTGGTGCTGTTTATTTCCTATTACTTCCCATCAATAGTCACATCTTTTTGTCTTTTTGTGCTGGTCAAATGTGTGGGTTGTTCTGTCTCTTGGACCCCTTTTTAGACTAACAGTATCACCACCCCTCCTTGCCTTGTTTTTACATGTTGAAGAGATGGCCCTTTTTTTTTTTTTTTTTTTTTTTTTTTGTAGAATGTCTCCTCTGGATTTGCTGATTATTTCTTCCTGGGGCTGTTTTCCTTGAGAATACATATTTTAATCAGGTCTTATCATAATAAAGTTCCTGTTTGCCATCACTTTTTTTTTTAATTTTTTTTTTCAACGTTTTTTATTTATTTTTTGGACAGAGAGAGACAGAGAATGAACGGGGGAGGGGCAGAGAGAGAGGGAGACACAGAATCGGAAACAGGCTCCAGGCTCTGAGCCATCAGCCCAGAGCCTGACGCGGGGCTCGAACTCACGGACCGCGAGATCATGACCTGGCTGAAGTCGGACGCTTAACCGACTGCGCCACCCAGGCGCCCCTGCCATCACTTTTTAAATAGAGAAACTACTAACTTTGTAAATTAAACAAAGACCCTACCTTTCCTACTGAATATGGAATAGGCCAGGTGGTAAATGAAGGGATTAGAGCAATTCTAATAATAATAATCT